CAGCTTACATAAAGAAAATTATTTGGGTACTTTTGATTTTCGGCGAAACGAGGGGGATAATCTACCAGGTTCTCTTCATTTCAAGAATAGTTTATTGAGGCGGTTTTGATCCGATAACAATCTCTTAAAGTTCTCAGATAGTGCGGGTGGGTTGCATATCCCAAATTTGAAGAAGGATTATCATCCATCCAGACAGCGGATACAAAGAGATCCATCAATTTTAAATAAAAAACGAACGAAAACAAAAAATACATATTTCTTAATTTCTGGGAAGTAATTTCGAAAAGAAAAAGAACAGATGAATGAACGGAGGCCTTTTGATTAAATGCATCTAAAGAATGGAACTAACTCAGCAAGTCTTCAGTGTTACATTGCATCCAATAAAATCGCCGGTTTCGAAATGTCCCAGAGCCATCCAAACAATATCGCTTTCGCAATCTGTTCATGAGAAGAAATCAATTTTGATTTCCACAAAACTCAGTTGGATTCAAAGATAACCGAAGTATTATAGGGTTCCAAGATGCTAATTCTAGACTCTCCACTTTTTTCAATCCACAATCCAATTCCAACAAATTTGCACTTTTAAACATTTATTCATTCACAATTTCATCATATATCTCATCACATAGAACTCAAACACAATACTTATCACAGGCGACTCTCTTAATAGTGACCAAGTGTGGGTACATGGCAGCGTAAGAATCATTGAGGTCAGCAACAGTCACGAGTTTACTGCATGGTTCGGAAATCGGTCCTAGCTTACTGCATCCAACTCGCAAGAGAGTCTGAGCTCCGTACCAATTAGTGGGGATGTCGAGTCCACTTTGGCAAATCAAACAGAGCGGGTTACCGGCAGATGATGCGGTCTGGAAAACTTTTAGATTAATTCAGAGTTTTCCAGGGGCTGGGGTAGCTGAGGACGAGGCCAATATAATTTTTCTAACTCATTCCCCGTTCTAGATGATGTTCGAAAAAATCCGGGAGCCTACACACGACTGCTCCAGGCTGTCGGGCAGTCGTGGGGCCTACCAACTCACCGAGACAAGAGCAGCCAACAGAAGAATAGTCAAGAAGAGCTTCATGTTGACGAATCAGTTGGAAGACTGACTGGGGTGTGAGGGTTTGGGGGCAGAAGGGGCGGTTTTTATGTGTTTCTTCCTGATGGGAATGCCAAGTGATTCCCATCTTTGATCAGAAACCGACGATGGGAACGAGGAGGGGGCGAAGGAGAGGACTGGAAATGATTGGAAGTGTGTAGTTTTTTGTATTTTTTAGGATTACTGTACTTTGTCCGTATTTGGAACAGGCCGACCGTACAAAACGGGGTGCTACCCCGCATGAGAACTGGCCGCATCAGAACTGACCCGCATTAGAACTCGCCGGATTAGAACCGGGAACTTCCGAAGTAGTTGGAAACTCGAAAAATTGAGGAAGTGTTTAGGGTCACAATGTCATATTCTGTACGAAAATTCAGCTTCGAGTCGCAACTGGGAGGTTGAATATGGCTCGATTCTGATCCGGAAAGTTCTAATACGGGTCAGTTCTAATGCGGCCAGTTCTAATGCGGGGTAGCACCCAAAACGGTCCTCTTTGAGATGATTTCGAGTCCAGTACCTTCTGGGTCCGACCGATTTTAGCCAACTCTAGTTTCAAGGCATTTTTTTTTGAAGAATTATAACTTGATAGAACCAAGACAGACCTATTTCAGTCATGCATACTGCACATCCTTCTGAAACAATTTCAGATTTTTCCTCCAATGATAAACTGTAAAAGTTCAGCCGAAACCGTAAGAATTTCGGGTTAGAAATGGGCAGATACTCAACTGCTATGAAATCTACTGCTATATCTCAACTGCTATATTCGGATCTTCTACTATGGATCAACTGCTACAGTTGAGACATCAAAAGTGGAGAAAAAAGCAGTTGATCACCCTCATAGCAGTTGGGATATAGCCGTAGATTTTATAGCAGTTGAGAATCTACCTTAGAAACTTCTATTTCCCTTCAATCAAAAACCGATAAATGCAAAACTTTATTCAATCATTAATCATCATTCAAATTGATCACTTCTGTGGTTGATGATGTTTGTCACGGAGTGACTCAGTCCAGCTCTTTGTCAATTCTTCTTGCTGAAATTTGCAAAAAATTATATTTATCACCTCGTTCCCATATCCATAAAACCCCCACTTTTATTGCTTTTTTTTTTGTTTTCCCATCCCCCTTCTGCCCCCAAAATTTGATAATTCGATTTATATTTCTCGCGCTTCGGGGCTGTAACAAATTTCAGCCTAAAAAACATCGTGATGAGGATTGTGATTCTAGTCGCTGTCCTTTTTCTTCTGTCGGACGCTTTGCCGGTAAGCCTCCACCGTCAAAAGACAAGTGCAACGGAGTACACACGCCTCAGATTTAACACTAGCAAATTCTCAGACGTGAAAGTGCGCCCTGGTGATAATTTTGTTAATAAGCTATGCTATGGTGCTCGTTTTCTACACGGCGAAAGTAATTATCAATAGGGCGCACAAGCTACATAGGCCGAACCCGCGGCGCAACCGGTAACGCCTTTCTCGGGGATCAACCCCATCTTCGAAATCATTTTTTTAATTCCCCCCTCCTCTAAGACCCCTTTCCAGGCCCCAGCAATCTACGCCCCTGCCGAACCGGACACCTCTGGAGTTTGTCTGTACTGCAAAGGACTCATCACTCTACCGGACAATAACGAGGAGGCTCAAATCCTTTTGAAGTTTGCCTGTGATAGCATCAAAAACTCGATTATGGCTGGAGTATGCAGAAAATTCGCACAGGCGGTTCACGCGACCAGCACCTGGCCTTATCTCAAATGGTTCCTGGAGGC